TCGGGTTCGAAGCCCATGGTGGGCACTGAATTTTTTTAGAACTTTCTGTACTCAAGTAAACTGGAATTTGATTTTTAAGAATTTACGGATTTAAAAAAAACACAAAGCACAAATTAAACCCTCGATTCTCACTAGAGTGAGTGTAAAAAATCAACTTGGTTTTCATTTCCGTTTCCGTTTCTCTCTCGCCGGAATATTCTAATCATTCGCCACCGTCGCTTTACTCACCGGTAATCATACTCATCTTGCTTCTTTGTTTTGGGTCTTTTGCTTCATTTTATCTCTTTATCTCTCACTCACATTATGCTTTTTCTGCCTCAAAGAAATTTTTTATTTTCTCTGCGTGAGATTAGGGTTTCTGAGAATCTACTGTTTCCTCAGATCTTTATATCTTTTGTTTACCAAGCACGGGATCTTCGTGTGAGTTATGCGATAGATTTTGTGAGTTTTTTTAGTTCAATCGCTTAGATATATTGATGTTTTGCTGTCTCTAGAGTGTAACTAGATGGTTTGTTGATTCTCGATGTCTAAAAGGGGGATTTTTGTACGAGGTCTGTATAAGAACCACTGAGTTTGATTATGACGATTTTTCAAATTCTTTCATTTACTCAGTTCGTGTCTCTTCTCTTATTTTGTTTTTCCCAGAAACCCAAAGATGGAAAGTTCAAGTCTTGTCAAGGCAGCAGTCACTGTATCGGCTTTATCAGCTTGTGCTCTCATGACTTGTCATGTGGTTAAGTTGGTTCAGTCATTCGAAACAACAAGAGACATTCGAGATTACATTTCTGGTCTTCTGAGATCTTATTTATCTCATATGACTATATTTATATGCAGATTATCTAGTCTCCAACGGGACATGGTTTTTGAAGATGTCTGGTGGAGACCAAAAAAGTCGAGGACATTTCGCATCGCCTGTGAAGACAACGAAACCAACTATACTTTGGTTCCAGCTAACGACAGCAAAAGGAACTATACTGTGGTTCCAGCTATCGATGAGGTATTCACCGATACTTTCCAAGGAGTCGAGATCCGATGGATTCTCCGCAACCGCCAAATTTATAGTAACAGTGGACCCATCCTACTCACTTACTATGATCTTACCTTCCCCAAAAAAGCCGAGGACTTGGTATGTGGCTCTTACTTTCCTTTAGTCTCCCAAAGTAGCTGCTTCTAACAGGGAAAGGATGAAGACACCACGCAAGCTTTTTCTCGATGTAACAGGGACATGGAGATCTGTTACTCTCAAATGTCCCTCATATATTCATACCCTTGCACTAGATCCTCAAGTTAGGAGGGACATCACAGATGACTTGCCTCGAGCGATGGTGCCTACCACGTCTTGCAACAACCCCTGCAAAACTTATAAGAGAGGTTATCTGGTGTATGGTCCAACTAGGACAAGGAAAACAAGTGTAATTGCTGCCATGGGAGAGTATCTTAAACTTGATGTCTATAATCTAGACCTGACTCAACTTAGCCGCAATTCTCAGCTTTAGGCGTCGCTCATGGCAACTGCTAACTATTCCATTTTAGGTGTTGTTTGACTGACCTCGACAATAGTAGTGCTGAACATGTATGTAATTCCATTCTTCTTCTTTAACATTGATGTGTTTAACTAGAATTACAAAAGCCTGAGGATTGTGGTAACTGAAATATCACCAAAGTCTCGATTCTTTGAACTGCTATTCTTTGAAATGCGTCAATGTGACTCTTTGTTTCTTACGCTGGTGTTTGTTTCCTTGAAGTGTATATAAATCAATGTCTGATTTGCTTTTATGTGGGCTTTTGATAAGGTAACTCTCTCGGGCTTACTTGATTTTATGGATCGGGTTTGGCCAAACTGCGGTGACCAGAGGATCATAGTCTTTACATCAAACAAGAAAGAGGTGCTTGATCCGGCATGGCTAACACCGGGACGCGTGGATTCTCATGTCTACATGCCTTAGCTCTCTCTATATCTTAAATCGAGTATATTTTTGTGTAGGTCTCTTGAGTTTGAGTGTCTTTGGCACGATCTCAAAACTTGTAATCAATCAAGCTGTATAGATCAGCTAATCTTAAAATGATAGACACAGAGGAAAAAGACAAAATATGGATATTTTTGAGTTTTTTTTATTTGTTGAATTAATTAGAGATACTAACTAGGGTGAATTAGCCTAATATACATGAAAGATTAAGTATTTAGGAGAACATCTTAAATATGTTGAAAATTAGGTGAGTGACAGCAAGTGGTGAGAGGAAAAGACGATTTTTGGATTAACGAATCCTGAGAAGATAAGCGTGTAAATCTTTAGGTTGACAGTATTTATAATTATTATCCGGCTAACAATTAAGATAACTCTTTACATTATTAAATTACCTGGATACCAATTTTATCATTCACCGCCATAGTTAACCCTAGTCGCTACAGTTCACGCTAGCCACCACATTTAGCGAGAATATCCGGCTAACAATTAAGATTACGTATCGCCACAGTTAATCCTAGTAGCCACAGTTCATCTTAGCCGCCACAGTTAAC